TGTTGTTATAAATGTAATGTTGTTATAAATGGATGAAAAAGTACAAAATCGATATTTTTTAATATAAAGTCTAATGTATGTAAATATTCGCAATTTGAACAAAACATTTGGAATCCAATTTAATTTCTACTCTCTTTAAAAATATTTCTAAATAAATTAAAATGTAATTTTCATAATTTTACAAATCTAGAAGGGGCTGAGCCCCCTTTGAACCCCACAGTTTGCGTCCATGTGTATATGGGTTGCGAGGAAATGATTCGAGAGCGGCATAGAGCATTACTTGCAATTTGGTCAAAAGTATACGTCATGGAATTTTTTAGTATGACGTTTTATTATTGAATGCCATATTATATACCTCATTTCTAAAAATCCATGGGTTAAAAAGTATTAGAAGGTTTAAAAAGGACATTTTGAGATTTTATCTTTTTGACACGTTTTCTTTTAGGGTATTTCGTGGAACGTGTAAATCATACTGCTCCTGACGGTCAACACGTAAATATTTCTGTTTTATCTCTTGTCAATTGTATATGAAAAGACTGCACTGTGTTCAATGTTTTTATTTTGCTTATTCAACAGGAATTGAGAAATTTATCTCCTAATCATTGTCAAACTAAAGCAGTTGTTTGTTAGTATTAAATCATTCTTTAGAATTTGTCATTTATTGAGAGTGCTACGCTTATTTAATGTTTTTAAGTGTAACATATTAAATTTTTAATTTCCTAACATTTTTTGTTATTTACTAAATCATTAATAATTAAGTGTTTTAACTAAGTAGCATCAAGCCTCATTATTTTTTATACGTCTCAGTTAAATAGAGAATTTTTAATATTTTATACAACAGAGTAAGTATAATAAAACATCTTCGTCGTAGTAAATAATAATAATAAATGACCTGTTGAATATTATGTTAGCACATTATCCAGTGATTGTAATTTTTGTAGAGTTAAATCGCTTTTTTTACTTCATAAGCTTTTAATATTTCTAAGAATTAAGCCAAGACAGTAAAAAAATTGGCGTAAACGATCTATTGACGGAAATTTAAAAACGTATTACTAGTAACTAAATATTGATACTTGGAAATTTTGAAACTTCAAGGGTTTTCATATTTTTATCATTATTTCGTCATAATGTTTAATATTTGGAAATAGTTTATCAATGATTTTTAATAATTTTTGATTTATACCCACTCTTTGTATTGTGATATCCTCTTATATAACTTCTATAAAATCAATATATTTTATCTACGACAAGCAAAGACATACAGACATCGCCGAGGCGTGTAATCATTTAATTATAATATTTTCATAGTCCTTACCGAACAAGCAATAAATGAGTTTTTGTGGTTTCACATAAAATTAGCAATATACAGCATATTACTCGTCATTATTAGTTTACATATTCTAAACAAACAATATTACAATAAAAATAACTCCTTGCATCGTGTTGTATTTGTGTGTGCTACTACTAGACTATAATATTACAAATTTTTTGGTAACATGTTGCTATATAAATCATTTCTAAAAAAAATGATTGTTAGTTTCTTCTGAATTAATAATGGATTTTTACAATTATAATCAAACTTTATTATACGCTCTATTAAGTAAATCTGTTTAACAATTTTGTTTTGATTGGTTCATTTAGTTATAGTAAATCATTCAAATTAATTAAGTTCTGAATATTTCAATTGCAGAATTTTTTCAAACACCAAAAGTTACTAGGAATTATTATTATTACGATAAAAATGCAAAAAAATATTGAGCTTTTCTGATAAATTTACAATAAATAGTAATTATAAAACGTTCTGACTGCATATTAATCTTAACGATACAATTTTTTTAATTCTCATTTTTTTTTTTTTTGTTTTTCAATCCGAAGATTGGTTTTTAATTTTCATAAAATTTTCTATTTAATGATGTCAATTTCAAACTTACCAATTGAGCTAAAAGTTATAGTAAAATAGATTTTTTTTTTTATTATAAAAATTTACAAAAATCAACTTTAAACGATTAAAAAAATAGTTTAAATATGTCATTTTCCTTATTTTTAACATATTAATAATCAAAATCAGTATTAATTTAAAAACAAATTTTTTGTTCTTAATTATTTATTTTTATGTATAAATACTATTTATTTTTATTTTATTAAAACTTAGAAGTGATAGAAAAAGTCTAATTGCACATTTGAAAACATCGCAAAAAGTTGATTTAGAATGGTATATTTTTGTTTCTGATGAAAGTTCCTTGTAGTCCAGTGTATAAACTTATAACATTGTTAACTGTTATAACTTAATCAAAAATGACCAAATCAGTATAATTTTTTTTTATTTAGATGCATGTCTTTACCTATCATTTGGTTTTTTTTTTTAATAAATCTAACCCTTTACTTGCCCACAAGAGGGATTCAAAATGATAACTTTTTCTTTTTTTTAGTTAAAGTAAATCATTAAAATTAATTCAGTTCGGGATATTTAAATTGTAGAATATTTTTAAATACCAAAAATTACTTCGAAATTATTACTATGATTTCTATTTAAGTGTTCTATTACGATAAAAATGCAAAAAAATAATGAGTTTTTCTGATAAATATACAGTAAATAGTAATTATGAAATTTCCTGACTGCATATTAGTTTTTAAAATAGCATAGTTTTAATTCTCATAAAATTTTCTATTTAATGATGTCAATTTCAACTTGGTAACATATTTAATTTTTTTTACTATAAACTTTCACAAAACTTGTCAAAAATTTTTCATCAACTTTAAAGAACCAAAAAAATAGGTTAAAAATGAAATTTTTTTTTTTTTTATTATAAACTTTCACTTTTAAGGACGAAATAAAGAAGGTTAAAAATTATTACTTTTAAAATATTANTTATAAACTTTCACTTTTAAGGACGAAATAAAGAAGGTTAAAAATTATTACTTTTAAAATATTAAAAATCAAATCAGTAATAATATGAAAACAAATTTTTTTTTCTTTTAATTATTATTTTATATGTAATTAGTAATAATATTAAAACTTAAAAGTGATAGAAAAAGTCTAATTGCAGATTTGAAAACAACACGAAAATTTGATTTATTTTATTGAAAATTATTGTATCAAGCCCTTTAAATTTTTATACACGTAAAAGTAAAGCAAAATATAACTTCTTTATTATTTTTATAATTTCTCTGTTTAAATTACAATATTAAATTATTGAATATCAATTTCATACTAAATTTAATAATTATAATTAGTATTTATTCATATATTATATTTTAAAATCAAAGAACTACTAATTAGGATATAATCAAAGAAATAAGAGTTGATGTTGCTTTTGGAATAATTCACCAATTTCTCTAAAGGAAACACTATCTACAGATTTGCATCGAAGCGTTTCTTATGATAGTGATTTTAATCACTGTCAGATATCATGTATACTTGTCCCATCTATGCCTCGACTCCACTGTGCTACTGTTTTTTTCTTTAATACTATTCACTCTATTGGTGCCTATAATAACATACCAATTTAATATAATTACCTTAGGTATATTTCTGTCATTTGTTATAATTTTTTTATACACTTTTATCCAACATACTTATTTTAAAATCAGATTATTTCCCTTTATACAGAGGGGGGGTTACAAACTTGAAACATACAAACTTTTTATATAACATAAAAAAATAGAAATTTTTCAATTTAACTTTTGAAAATGCTCCTGAAATTATTCGAGCTTTAAACATTAATTAAGTGAAAGCTTATATTACATACTATAAGTTAAAGAATAAAAATTATTCCTATGTCTATTTGGTATGTAAATGGTACCTGATGTTCGAAAAAAATATTATAGAGAACTATATTCCGGATAGTTTTAAATATTTTTTTATATAGTAGTATTCAGAAATATTCTGGGCCTAGTTTCATTTATGGTATTGACCGCTGATGTGTTGTTAAATTTCATTAAAACTTTGTTTTTATTTATTTTTTATTATATGTAAATTTTAGTTTTTACTAATTAGTAATAATCTCAAAAATTAAAGGCGTTAAAAAAATCTAATTGTGATTTGAAACCAACGTAAAAATTAATTTAGGAATTTATATAAAAGTCATTGATAAAATTTCTTGTAGACAAATTTAGACTAAATTATTTTCTGAAAAGTTTTTCATCAAGCTCTTCAGTTTTAATTGACATTTTTAATGTCTGTAGTAAATAAGCGTCAATAATAGAGAAGATGAGAGAAAATAGACATAGATGGTTTGGTCATGTTATGAGGAGAAAGGAATCGGAAGCTGTAAGAACAGTTATAGAAATGAATGTTGAAGAAAAGAGAGGTAGAGGAAGATCAAAAAAGAGATGGAGTGATGTAATTGAATACGATACGAGGACGGCTAATGTGAGCACAGATGATGTAGAAGATCGTGTCAAGTAAAAATTTCGGATGAAGGGGCCTACCCCAAGTAGTTGGAATTAAGGTGAGAAAAAGAAGAAGAAGAAATATTACAAATTTGTTTAATTAAAATATATTTTTATATTTATCACAAATTTATAATGCTGTTTTTTTTTTGTAAAAAGATTAGTCCATCTTTATATTTTTCTAACATGATTTTGGTTACATTTTTAATGAAAACCGTGTTTAAAAGTTTATTTATATATATATATATATTAGTAAAATGTAGAATTAAACATTTTTTTTTAATGTATCATATAGTCGTTATTTGGTGAGGATTGTTGGATTTTTATATAAACGTGTATTGCATTTTAATTAACCAACAGGAAATTATGGAAATTTTAACGCAAACAATGTAATTCTTAGGTATTGTCACAATTATATAATTTTAAAGTAATTTGATGATTTGATGTTTAAATCTTTAATACTAAATATAACTTCTAACAGACATGTTCATGTAAATTGATGTTGCCGCCAAAAATATCACAAATCAAAATTAGAACATTAAATGTTGTTTTTTCTTCCATGATGAATTATCACCTCGTCGCACCGTCTCGTCTATCGATGCGTTAGTTTTTCTATTGTTTGCTCGATGCATGCCGGTATTTGGTCCATTTCGATCACAGAACTCGTAAATTGCTTTTGACTTAACTAACTGATCATTGAATTTCATCACATCAGTGTTCCAATCACTTCGAAGAAAACGATAGTTTGATTTGTTATATTATTTCCATACTCGTTCACATTATAGTAAGTATGTTTTCTGTAATAATATTTGAATTTCCATTTAACTTTGTGAATGAGGTCTGTTGTCCGTTAGACCACATGGTACTTTGAACAAATGTCAGTGAAATGTAATTTTTTTTTGTTTATTAATTTAATATAGTTTAGTTTTAATGAGACTTTTTTATATCAAGTCATAAATTGTCATATATAACTAGAGATATGTAAAGTGACAACTTAAAGTAATAGTGACGTTAGTTTGAGGGAAGTTAAAAACATTAAAAAAAAACTGTTTTTAAATTAACAAATTAAAACGTTTAAAATTTCTCTTAAAATCAATGATAGTATAGCTTTTAATTGGTACTTCTTGCTACTTATCTTACTAGTTCATCAATATTTAAATTACTTTAGGTGTCAATACAGAATTTGTTTTTTATACATATTAAAAAAGATATTTCCACATTCTTCGGAGGATTTGAAATTTTTTTCTGGGGATTTAAAAATGAATTTTTTTTATTACTCTTAATCTTAGAAATATGATCTGATCATAAACATATAAATAATGAAGACTAGGAATGAGTGATAATCTGTGAAACTAACATGGATATTATATAAAATAATTTACTAAAAACATTTGATTTGTTATATTGTTTTAAGATAAATTTAAAATGATTACATAAAATTAATGCATTTAGTTATTCATGAAAAATCCTCTGAATCAAAATATTCTGGCTTTAATGTAATACGTGTAAAAGGTCTACTATTTCTGGTCTATTTATTTTTATTTCTGTGGTCTGATTAAAAAAATATTATTATTAATTAAACAAATAATAAAAAAAGTGGTTACTGATAATTTTATCCATTGATAAAATATTAGTTATTTTTAGTACTATAAATGAGATGGTTCATTTAGTACTGTCAATTTGTCACTGTTTTAATTTTAACTGTTGTAAAAACTAGTACTTTTTTGTTTGTTACTAATCATTTTATTTTAAAGTCACATGAGCGAGTAATGACATCTATTTCATTGTGATAAAGTAGCAGTGATGGGTTACACATTTGGAGTAACTGCTATTCCATTTATTATTACGTCTAGGACGTTATCTTTTTCAAATAACGTTTTCTATGAATATAAAAATGAAAATACAGCCATAATAATAACTGTATTACCCAATAGTAATCACAAATTAATAATAATTTCAATGTATATAAGGCCTAGCACGTTTTTGATGATTCGTAAAAATAATTGAATTTTAAATTTGGGGGGCCGGCTCAGGGTCACATTAAATCTAAGGGGGGCCAGGCCCACCCATATCTACGTGCCTGGTGGGTTGGTTAAAAAAAAACGTTTACTTCTTTATATATTCTCTATATTTCATTTTAAGATATGGCTTGAAGTTGTAAAATAAAGTTTAAGCTAAAACTTAATTAGAGTAAAGGGTATTTACTTCATAAATAAACCTTATAGTTTATAATGCAACACTTTATATATCACCTAACCTATCATAAAATTACATAATTTATCATTCTATTATTGCACAGAAAAAATGCTCAATTTTTTCAATATATTTATATTTTTAATCATTTTTATTGATGTTCAATAACTAAGTAAAATTTCCAATTGTTTAAACAACATCATCAATTAACAAATATACACCCATAGGCCTTTTTTTTTACGATTTAATTATTTATAAAAAATAAATATTTTATATAAAATACTTATTTTAAAAAAAAGTTAAGCTTTACACTTTCTCAATAATTCTATGGTAAATATTACCTTTAATCAATCTAATATTTATTCTATAATGTTATTAATTTTCAGTATAAAATGGCTGAATGGGATTTCGAAACTAATGTTGAACCTTCTTCACCCAGAGAAGGTGGTCGTGGACGTGGTCGTGGTCGAGGTCGTGGCCGTGGTGGCTACTCAAGAAATGATAGAGATGATGATGATGCTTGGAGAGGCAATGATGAATCATTTGGAAATGATTTTGGTGGAAGTGGTGAAAGTAGTGGACGGGGAAGAGGAAGGGGGCGTGGAGGAGGTCGTTCAAGATTTAATGATAGACAAGCTGGAGGAGATTATGATAATTTTGGTGAAGAAGGCGAAACAGATCAGCCACCAGCATCAGATAAACCAAGACCAACATATATTCCTGCAGAGATAACTGATGATGATATCACTTCAATTGATGTAGGTTCCAATTTTGATAAATATCAAAATATTGAAGTTAAAGTTAGTGGAGATGCTGTACCAAAACATATTGAATCATTTAAAAGTTCTGGTCTTCGTGAAATTTTAATTGAAAATTTGGCAGCTTGTAAATATACAACTCCTACTCCAATTCAAAAACATGCCATTCCAATAGTAATTAATGGTAGAGATATGATGGCGAGTGCTCAAACAGGTTCTGGTAAAACAGTAAGTTTTTTTTTTAATACATATTTATTAATTTAAATACTGATAATTTATTTATATAATTATACTTCATATTATTAATAATTAATATTATTCATGCTATTTTTATTTGTACAGTTATTTTAGGTAATTAGTTCATAATATTTCGTATTGTCTATCTAGAATTTCTATTTTTTTTTCAATTTCTTCAAATTACTTTTTTTTTTTTGTACAGCTTCATTTGTCATGTTTGATAACTCAAATATGCTTTTAATTTTTTTTCTTCTGTATAGAACAACCAATGAATGTTTCTTGTTGATTAAAATGTATCCTTGGTTACTTTTACATACTATTCTACCTATCTTTACATCAGTAGAGTATCGAGGATTTTAGTACTGCCTCTCTTATGAGAGGCCACTGTGCAGTGGCGTTCCAAATGGAGGGGAAGGGGGATGCTCCTCCAGATATTAGTCATTTGACAAATTGTCTATTCTAAGTGACTTTTTTTTTTGCAAAAAATGTTAGTAAACACTGGTAAACTAATTTCAAATTAACACCGCACCATATTGGGAAGGCTAGAAATGCCTCTGCCACTGTATTGAAGCTCTAACCAACTATGTATTACTTCGTCAATCGCTGCGCTCGCAATTTGCCTCATTTATATTACACTTTGATACCAACACTCAGTATAACTAAATGACATAAGTTATAACTAATAATTATTAAATAAAATTTAAAACTAACTTAAGGTTAAGTACAAAAGTAATAATGTTATTTTTATTTGTTATATTTAAATTGATATTCAATTAAAAAAAATACAATAACAATAATAATAATATACAAAAATAAAAGTAGGAGAAAATAAATATTGTAAAAGCAAAGAATTCTATAATAACTTTCTGCGCTTTTTTTTGTTAAGTAAATGTATTTATAACATTATTAAAGTCAATTATTTGTGCTATATTGGGCTCAATGCTCAATATAGCCATTTTGATAGTTGGACCTCAGTCATAGTTGAGCGAAGATATGTTTGAAGAAGTTTAAGCCGGCTAAAACTTTTTCCTGCGGTTGCACTGCTAACTGCAAGTGTATAAAATATTTTATACAAAATATATAAATTTGGATATGAAGAAACCATGATTCGAGATATATCATGAACTTCATAAACACTTCATTTAATTTTAAAGGTTCATTTTCATTATAAACTTGATGGTACATTAGTCAAAACGAACAATATTCAGCTTCTATATCCATTTCATTTAAGTCAACTTCATAAAATTTGATAAATATTTAATAGAAACAAGATTATTATCTATGTTTTCTATAGACATTTTCTATGGATTAAGTTCTTCAAATTTTTAACGATGTTAGAGAAATCTTCAAAATGGGTTTCCAACGTATTTGTAAATGAATCCAAAATAATAAAATATGTATTATATTTAAAATTTTCATCAGCAGACTAATATTTTCCAAATTACTTACACCATTCATTTTCTTCTTTGTTCTTTCACGTTTTTGCTTAAAGTCATTTTTGCTTCCAAACTGTTCACACAATTCAATTGCATTACATTTTATTTTTAAAAAATATTCCTTATTTCTTAAAGATGAAATATCTAAAAAACATGTTGAAACCATAATATCATGTGCAGTTATTAAATCAATTTTAGAACTTTGTAAATAATTTGATTAAATATTAGTTTTTCCAAGTATATTCTTCCATAAAACTAACTAACAACTGAATTTAAAATTCACCATTTGAAAAATTAATCCTAATAATATAATACTAATAATAATGCAATAAGAAATTCTATAAATACATTCTTTCAATAAATTTGCGCCGGTTTTATGATTTCCTACGCGTTATTTATATTTCAATACTTAGTCTTAACGTATTATTTTAACATTTTTAAGCTTGAGAATAATTTATAAATTATTATTATTTTTTTATTATTGTGGTGTTATACACAATATTAAAAATGAAAAAAAGTATATAGCTTGTGATTTTAAGGGGCCACATTTAACTGAAAAAAAAACTGGGTCAGCTCACCATCCAAACCCCTCCTAGGTCCAATATCATATGTCCAATGATTTTATCTTTGGACTTTGATTTTAAACCTAGTTTTTTGGCCAATTAGCATTATTCTACCAGAAATTTTAATAAATCATTTCATAATTTTGTTGGTTTTTTTTATGTATTTATTTATTTTTGAGAATGTAAAATTGTTCCTCTCATTTAATTTTTAAAAACTTATTCATCGTTCTTATCTAATACTAATTTTACAAATTAATCTCTATCGACAGCATTTAAATTTTCTGCTAATTCCTAAGTTAGATAATATTTTATCTGAGAAAAACATTAATTGTAAATACTAAATTTTTTTTCTCCAAAAGTTTAAGTTTGAGTATTTGCTAAATTTTTGTTTTCAAATTATTTTGTATCAAATTCATTAGAAATAATAATTATTTTTATATATAATATAATTATTATATTGTAATATTATTATTATAGTAATGTATTAATATAACTGTTTTGTAAAGGCTGCTTTTGTATTGCCAATATTGCATACTTTGTTAAATGAACCACAAGATTTAGTATTTGAACGTGATTACTGTGAACCTCAGTGTGTAATTATGTCTCCTACTAGAGAACTTGCAATACAAATCCGTGAAGTTGTGTATAAATTAGCAAAAGGTACTATAATTAAACATGGATTACTTTATGGTGGAACTGCCACTGGTTATCAAAAATCACAAATTGTGGTAAGTGTGTGGTACATGAATAATATTTAATAATCAGTTTTTTTTTATTAATGTTAAATTTTTTCAGAATGGTGTTCACATAATAGTTGCTACTCCAGGTCGCTTAAATGATTTTGTTGGTCGTGGTATTGTGTCTTTTAGATCAGTTAGATTTTTTGTATTGGATGAAGCTGATAGAATGTTGGATATGGGTTTTAAGCCAGAAATTGAAAGAATTTTAAATCATGAAACAATGGTTGACACTGTTAGTTAATTCAAACATATGATTTATAATGCAAAACTTTTGGTAAAATTTGTATGTAAAGCTAATTTTTTTTTTAATTTTTCTAAGAACTCGAGACAAACCCTGTTGTTTTCGGCTACACTAGCTGATGAAATTCAAATGCTGGCTAAGTCTTACATGAAACCAAACTATGCTTTTGTTGCTGTTGGTGAAGTTGGTGGCGCATGCAAAGATGTAGTGCAAGAAATCAGAGAAGTTGCTAAATTTGAGAAAAAAAAAGAATTGATTAAAGTTTTAGAGTCTCTTGGTTAGTCATTGTTTAATAAAAATGCTTATGTAAAATCTGAATCAATAATTATTTATTACAGGAGATTGTTCTGGAACAATGGTGTTTGTGGAACAAAAAAGAAATGCTGATTTCATTGCTGCCTTTTTGAGCGAAAAAGACTTTCCTACTACCAGTATTCATGGAGATAGAGAACAAGCTGAAAGAGAACAGGCATTGCGAGATTTTAAAAGTAACAAAATGAAAATTTTGGTTGCAACAGCTGTAGCAGCAAGAGGATTAGGTAATTCACTTTGGAAAATTATATTAGTTATTTATGGTAAATGTTTTATACTGAAATATTTAATGAGATTTCATAGTTTCCACAAGTCTGAAAAACCTTGAAAAATCAGGGATTTTAAATGGTCAAGGAAATTATATAAATGTCAGAAATTCTTAAAAATGTATTTAACTTAGATGTTTAGACAATATAATTAAGGGGTTCAAATCTTCACCTCAAATGTTATTACTAATAATAAAAATTATATTTCAAATTATGGAAATTACATTTAAAAATCATCCTATAAATCTATGTTTAAACCTCTGGACTAGGATAGGTATAGTTTAAAAGATATTTTTCAAGTTGAAAACCCAAAAAACTATTTCCAAAATATCAAATGGTAAACAAAAATAAAATAAAGAGGAAGTTTGGTAAAATTAGAAGTCTTATATATAAATAATCTATGCCTTTATCTTTAAGTATGAACTTCTTTTAAAAATTTATCATTAAAAAATTGGTTAATTTGAAAATTTTTAATTTGTTGGAACCGTGGATCTATCTTTAACTTATTATTTTCTAACTTAATATTATGATATAATAAATTGTATCAATATATATTACATGGTATATATTTTGTTTTTAATAAGCACAATATTTATTCTATGTAACATTTATGATTTATTTTTTTACAAAAAATAACGCAATTATTTAATTTAATAGTTAACATCAATATTTTATGAATTAGTAATATAAAATTATTGTTATTTAAATAATAAAAATCAGAAAAGTATACTTTGACAGAAATGTTTTTCAACATATAGCATGCATGTAACTTAGAAAAAATTTTCTCTTTAAAATTATTTTGCTTAGCAAAATAGTATTGTACTAACACTATCAGTATTATGACATTAAAAGTTCACTACATATTACTTGATATATGAAAGAAAAAATTTGTTTTTTGTGAATTAAAACATTTTTGTTGATAATATTTGTCAAATATATTGCAAATCATCTTCTTCTGTAATTTTTACAGTTTCTATGTAATATTGCTTTTCTTATCAGTTAAAATAAAATATTTTATATGTATAACTATGGTTTATTAATTTTGTTTGTTAAATATTAATCTTTTAGTTTTTTAATTATTGTTGTTTTATATTGTTTCAGATATAAAAGGTGTAAATTGTGTGATTAATTTTGATATGCCTTCTAGTATTGATGAATATGTTCATAGAATTGGACGTACGGGTCGTTTAGGAAACACCGGTAGAGCTGTTTCATTTTATGATGGTAGTAGTGATGGTGGACTGTGTTCGGAATTGGTTCGTATACTTAAGCAGGTTAGTGCTAAAATTTGACCTTGCTGTTAACTTAAAGCTTTATAATGTTTTTTTTTTTTTAAAGGCTGATCAAGAAGTACCATCATTTTTGTCTGGTGGTGATTGTTATGGCAGCAGTGATTATGGTACACAACAATCATTTAATGATATAAGATCAACGGTTAGTATTAATTTTAATTAAACTTAGAAAATATTGATTATCTCATATTGTAGTAGTTGTAAGAATTTTATATTAGTTAAAATTAGTTCACTTCTGTAAACTGGATATTATGCATTCATAGATCAATATTTAGGGTTTATGTACTTGAAAATTTTAAGTAGCAAGGAAATTAAAATTATTTTGTTTGAGTTAGGGACTAGTCTAGGAATAAAGTCATTTTTCTGAAATTGTATTGTTTATTATTATGATACTTAACTGCAGTTTGTCTTATTCTTATCAAATTGATGTTTCATATTAGTTTGTAATATGTAACGTAAATATAGATCTAATAAAATCTAGTCCGTGATATTATTTTTAGTAATAATAATAAAAGTTAAAAATCTGAGTTTTATTGTTTATAGTTCAATAATTATTTGATTATATAACATATTTTGTTTGATGGTTGTAACCTATAATACCATGTTTGCCAAAAACTCATTTGATTACTTAACAAATAAATTGAAAAATATTTTTAGTTATATATATTTTTTAATTTATAAGTTATTAGTTGCTTTTTAGCATCACTTCTTATAACTTTTAGGGGTATCAACTTAATTATTAAATGGTAACATACATGTTTAACTAGCTTATCAAATAGAAAATGATCTAATTGAGAAAATGATAGTACAATAACAAATTTTTAGAATAGTACTTCAACAATTTTTATATGTGAGTGAGTGTAGTAGTGTGATCGAGAAATGTCCTATGATATAGACACACTTGCATCTTTTTTATGATCTTTATTTTAAAATTGTCAAATGAATTACTTTATATATTCACAAATCCATTTATCATAGGTTTAAGCTTTATATTCTTAGTCTCTCTTCTATTGCTTGTATAAGTTTTGTAGATTCAATCCACAAAATAATAATAAATTTAATTTTTTATTTTTTATGAGAATTCAGGAAATCCGAAAAAGGATATTTTAGCCTAACAATACTATTTGTAATAAATATATTCAACTGTTCCTTTTTTATGCTTTAAAGATATTGGAATAAATATTTTATTAAATTTCCTCTTTATTTCTATATTTTTAATTATTCAATTTATTTTTTATATTTGCAGCAAACTGCCGGTAATGGAGCTGATGATGATGATGGATGGTAAGAGCTATGCATATATTGTCTATGTGAAACATTTGTTATTTTGTATATTAGATTGTGTTGATATTCTTATATCTATTAAGTTATGTTTGTTTAGTTACGATTTTTGATCAGCGTAATGTTTAAATATTTGTATATAGTTTTATTATTATGTAAGACAAACATGAGATGACCTTTTATTTGACAAGTTTTTGTTATGGTATTTGATTGAGAGTAATTATATGAACTTATTTTGATATTTCAAAATCAAGCTCATGAATAAACTTTCATACTTTATTCTAGATGTATTTTTATTTGGTTTACCATGTAATCTATTATTTTTTAATTTATTTATATAAATTTTGTTTGAATGAAATTTATGTACAAATAATAGAAATACTTATTATATTATGTGAGCATTGAAGATATTAAGAGCTATTAAGTGAAAAATTGGTTATCAAATAATAAGTTATTGAAAAAAAGTGTATAAAACATACTACACGTTTTTATAGATGGCATTACTTTTTTTTCATTTCTTAAAAAAATAACTGTTAATAAATTTTTAGAAACATTTTTCAATCTTAATAATTTGTTAAGATTGAAAACTTGTTTTACTTGTTCAATAATTGAATATATATTCTCTAAAAATTTCAAAGTTTCTAAAAATAACCTGGTTAAATCCAAAGTGAATTACAATTCTCTGAACTAATTTCTAAAACTCTAAAAAAAAATTTTGGTCTGGCAATTTTTTGAATTAAAAATTCACTGTCTGACCCTGTTCAAAAAAAAGGTTAAAATATACAGATCCGTCCTACCCAAGTGAATGGGGTAATTCATCATGGTGAATTCAAAATTTCAAGTTTGTCCTGATCTTTAATTTCTTTAAAAAGTATTTTTATGTAAAATTAAAAAAATAATTTAATGAATATATCATTTATGACAATAAAGAATTAATTTGAAGCGAATACAATCATAATTATTTTTTTCAATGCCTCTAAGATTAATCCATAANTTTTTTCAATGCCTTTAAGATTAATCCATAATAATTTTACTGGATACTAATTGAATCAGTCATTTCAAAAACGTCATAAGTCATTAAATTCAAATTTTTCAAGAACCAAAAAAAAACTCAATTACTCTAGAAATTCGACTTTTTTTCACTTACACCTATTTACGAATTTATTTTTAAGATCTCTGATATTCATAATCCATAGTTTTAAATAGTCTAACTTTTACCTAAATGCATAAAATTCAGATAAATAATATTTGACTTACGTAGTTTTTGCAGTCAATAGAAAATAGAAAAACAGTAATTTTAATATTTTTACACTAGCTGAAATAGTTTTTTTTTAAATAAAATAATTTTTATTTTAAATAAACAAAACTTAACTTTTTTTAACTTTACAAAACGTAACAAAATTTAAAAACAACTACTGATTGAAACTTAACAAAAACAATATGAAATAAACCGTTGCACATTTCATAGTACATATAATATATAAAAAAATAAAATATTTCTTTTTTCTTAAACAACAAAAACATAATTTTTTTAACTTGACAAAATGTTACAATAGAAGAGCATTTTTTAATGAAACTTGATAAAATTCAAAATACAACAATAAACTGTAAAAAAATGTAAACTAACTTTAAATTATTAAAAAATGATCAAAACTTAACAAAAATAACAAATACGTTAATACATAATATTTTGAAAATTGTTATGATACGTAATCATATTCCCCATCAAGTTTTACATTTTCAGCTTCCATATTTTGTTCATCAGGAGTTTGCCATTTATATATTTCTTCATAAAATACCCTATGTTCCTCGATTATACTATCTTTAACTTGTCTTAAGTTTTCAATTTTTTGCGGGTTTACTGGTACTTTATTATTATACACCTTGGTTGTTAGCAATTCTATATTATTATTTGTTGTTAATTTTAATAGTTAGTGTGTTTTGATAACCCATCGATAAAATTAAGCGTGAATACAATACCTTTATATTTTGTATTATATTCGAAACTCGTGTATGTAGATGGGGTAAGGATTGCTTTTGGCCTTTTGGAACATTTTTTCCAAATGTCTCAACAGATAAACATGTCTTTTTGTAGAATATTGGCTTCCATTTTTTAAAGTCGTAAACTTGATCCGTCTGAAACTTCATTACTCTGAACTTTTCACTGCATTTTTTTATATAGATGCATGATATCATTACCTTTCATATGGTATATTTTTTTTTTATATATCTGACTCTTTACCTACTCGCAGGGTGGGATTTAAAATGACAACTTTTTCACAAAAAATTAATTTTTTTATCTTGACTTTTGAAAGTTCCGGAAAGTCTGACACTTTTATATATATCTTAAATTAAAGCTAATGTAATATACTTTATCATGGAAAAAAAAATTTCGGACTTCATTTTATCTTCATGGTGAAAATGGCTACCGAATGTTATTTTGTGTGAAAATTTTCGATTTTGTATTTTACATTTTTAACTTTATAATGCTATAACTTATTAAAAAGTGTATGGATCAACATAATTTTTTTATGAGAAATAATATTTTTTAATAATCCCTTTTTCATTCGACATACTTTATTTAGTTTTTGGAATAATCCACCAATTTTTTAAAATTAAACACTATCTAAAGATTTGCATCGAAGCGTTTTTTAGCTTCGATGCGAAGCTGAGAAGGTATTAATTTTATCATGATGTGTTTATTTTTTTTTTTTTTATGTCTGTCACTACTTTTCTCGGCTCTTACTGGACTACATTCTTTCAACGATACATGAAAACATCAAAATTTGTATCTAGTTGAAGACATTACCCTCAAAAATTGAAAATTTTTCCATCGTACCCTGTAAATGGGGGAAATCTCCAAAAAATTACAAATTTAAAAATCTCTAATTTTCGAAATTTTTTTTACTTAAAATTGCCATAACTTTTTTAAAAATATCCAAATCAATATAATTTTTTTTTATACCTTAGATATTTCCCTTTCATGTGATATCATTTTTTTGGGAATTTAACACTAATCTGCTCACTGGGGGGGATTTAAAATAATAACTTTTTTATAAAAACTAACTTTTTCAACTTAATTTTTGAAAATGTTCCGGAAATACTGCTTCCTTTAAACATATATCAAATTGAAGCTTATTTTATGTACTATATAATTTAAAAAATTTGTCCTGACGGCCTATCTTCTATGCGTAAATGGCTACTGTATTAAAAAATATGCTATTTTTCTACTAAAATTTTAGGTTTTGTATTTTATTTTACTTTAAAATATCTTAAAAGGGGAATACATTAACTTTCATGAATATTATATAATTTAATTGACATAGAATAAAGTTTATAAGACATAAGAAATTAAACTTATTTAAATTTTTTTATTTTTTTAAAGTCGAAAGAGTAATTTTAAAATTTGAGTCAGCTTAAATGGCCAATTTTATCATGAGGCGAAAGCGACTAACAGTTGCCCAATCGGTAACATTTTTGTCTTACATGCCTAGGGTACGAGGTTCAAATCCGTCTATGGGCGAGAAAATTTTGCATTTTTTTTGAGTTAGAATAAAATGTTCAAATCATTTGATATTTATCTCATTTAGATTCAATAACTTCAATAAATATAAAGAATCCTATCACTATAGTCTCCCCTCGTGAGAAGAAATTTCTTATTTATGTTTATATTATTTTACTATGTGGTTCTTTTTGTGGCTACGATTTATTTTGCTAACCCTCACTCGACCTACTTTTATCAACGATACGTCAAATGATTACAATTCGTATTTAGTTGAAGATATTACCCTTAAAAAATTCCTTATTCAAATAAAAAGTAGCTTAGCCAGTTTTTTCCATACAAACAATTAAAATATCATTCATTTCTAATATTGTCGAATTAGATTTGATATGATAAAACTATTCAACTACAAAATTAAATAATTTTACTTTGTTATTTTTTAATATTTTAACTCTATTTGTGTGTGCTACTACCAGTCTATAATATTCCAAAATTTTTTGTAACATGTTGCTATATAAACATAAATTTAAAAAAAAAATGATTTTTAGTTTCACATGAATTTAACGATGGATTTTTACAATTATAATAAAATTTATAATACGCTCACAATTGAGTAAATCTTTTTAACTATTTTTTTTTATTGGTTTTTTTAGTTATTAAAATTAATTGAGTTTTGCATATTTCAATTGTAGAATCTTTAAACACCAAAAGTTAATTAGAAATGATTACTATGATTTTTATTTAAGTGATCCATTACGATAATAATGTAAAAAAAAAATTGAACTTTTCTGATAAATGTACTGTAAATAGTAATTATAAAATTTCCTGATTCATATTAATCTTAACAATTTCATTTTTTTCTATTTAATAATGTCAATTTCAAACTTGCAAGTTGAGCTAAAAGTTAGGGTAATAAATTAATTTTTTTTTTTAAAACTTTCACGTTAAAGGACAAAAAGAAGTAGGTTCAAAATGATTACTTTTAACATATTAAAAATCAAACTCAATAATAAATTGAAAACAATTAATTTTAAAAATTATATAATATATAATTAAAAGAATTATTAATCTGAGTATAATTAAGGAAGTAGAAGTTGATGTTGCTTTTGTAATTATTCATCAATTTTTTAGAATTAAACACTATCTACAGATTTGCATCGAAGCGTTTCTTATGATAGTGATTTTAATCACTGTCAGATTAAATCTATACTGGACCCAACTATGCAACGTCCCCACTGTGCCGCGACACCCCTGTGCTGGTTTTTTTAATTTTTATATTGAGTTGCTCAGTTGCTCATTGAGCAATTCTTGCATATAATACAAGTATCTACTTGTGGCCTTACAAATCTAATAGAAATATTTTCAATGAATGACAGTAAAAACTACAAAAGTTAATGACAAGTGCAGTTTTTGCAGTGATTCTAGTTTTTTGTAGTAAATTTTGTATTAAATATGAGTCTGACAAATGTAGTTTTTTCACAGAATACGTAACCAGGTATATAATTATCAAATTTGACAAAAAGTCATTATAGAAAAATTGATGAATTATGTTGTTTTTGAAATGACCGATTCAATTATACTATGATTTTTTTTTTTTTGTGTCTGTTACCAATTATTCTCTGCTTCCGAACCGAATTCATTCAAGGATACATCAAAAGATCACAAATCGTATCTAGTTAAAGACATTACACTCAAAAATTGAAAAAAATTTCCCTCGTTCCTCATACATGGTGGAAAATCTCCAAAAAATTTCAAATTTAAAAATCGGTACTTTTTGACATTTTTTTCAATATTTTTTACTTAAAACTGCCATAAATTTTTGAAAAATGTATGGATCAATAAATTTTTTTTTTATAAATTCATAGAGGTATTTATTTATCATATTGTATATTTATTTTATAAATCTTGCCCTTTACTACTAGCCTACAGGGGGATTCAAAATAAAATTTTTTTTACAAAAATTTAACTTTTGAAAGTGTTCGGTAAATACTGATACTTTTATATATAAATATCTTTAATTAAAGCTTGTCTAATGTACTTTAATATGAAAAAAAAAATTCGATAATAATTTCACGGAATGTGATATAATAATAATTATTTATTCAAAAGCAAACATACTATTCCTATATTTATGAAATATAGAAATAAAGTCAAAGTTGTCATATCATATAATTAGTATAAAAAATACATCGAAATATTTGAATTTTTGTTTATTTTATTGAAATGAATCAGTATATTCATAGTTTGGCATAGTAGACACTTCAGTTGCCGTCGAGTTCTAAAGTTTACTTGGCCTGTCGCTGATAAATGTCTGATAGTTTACCACATGTCAATGTCAACGGCGGCAAACACTATGACCTTCAACGACAGATGACGAGTACTTAATATTTTCTAGGATTTACCAATTCAATTTTCAGGATTGAATGGTGTTGACCAATTTAACGGTTTAATAAAAAACTATGATATTATCTTTCAATATTGATTGTTGACTAATGATGACAAAAGCATCCTTGCGAGATTATTCTTTTTCTAAAAGGAGATGACTTTAATCTTGGGACCTCTTATAAAGTCTGTGACTTTAGGAGGTCTGAAGTCAACATTTTCTATAGCTTAATTATATCATTAAAATAATTATTTAACAATAATGGGTAAACATTTCTGGGTGACAGAATATGGTAGGATGTGTATAACTTGCAGTGAATATATGACTCTAAGAATCCTAAAGTTAATATATTTTATTATTAAAGTAACGATTGACTCCAAATTCACAGTGGCAAAAAGCACCATGTCTCCATTGCAAAATGCAACAGAATACCACTGCACAAAATCCTATTCCTAATAAAACAACCATGATAAGGCTTAGCCTTTAGAAGAAGATTCATTTAAGTAATGCATTTTAAGAGAATAAACAAAAAAAGATGATTTGTTCGAAATATTATCTCAGTTTCCTATTTTGATTAAATGCTCAATATGTATAATAATTAGGGCTGGGCTGATATTAAACAGGTTATTAAATATTTTAATATAAAATTTAAAAAATACGTAAATTCTTGACTCAATAATGAAACAAAACCTTCAGAATACATCATAAGATTATGTTTTTAGACTTGCAGCCCACTATACGCGTTCATAACTCCAAACATTTAAACAAAAAAAAATCTGTATTTACATTTAGAAAATATTTAACGACAAAAATATTAATTAAAATAAGTCAATTGAAATTAAAAATTATAGTATACCTTTTTGTATCAATATAACAGTTTTATAAAATAAAAAAAGTATAGACAATTTAGAATATTTACAGATACATTCATGTCTGATGTAATGTTGTGAATCATTCAATCTCCGCCTTTGCGCTGATGTTCAGCTGTTCTGTTTGTTGTTAGTTCACGGATGGATGGTCTTATGAGAACTTTACAGAGGCACATGTCTTGCCCTTTTACCAGTTCNCAGAGGCACATGTCTTGCCCTTTTACCGGTTTCCTCAGCTATAATAAGATTGCCTCAGGTTATCTGGTATAAAAATTCTGCCAAACCATTGTAAGATAGAGCCGACCTCAAATAGTTGGGGTAGAGGCTAAGGAAATGATGACAGATACATTTAAAATATTACAACAACCTTGGAAGCTTTACCATATATTTTTATTAATATTTCGCTTCTTTCAATATTTCTAGAAATAAAAAGCGGTTGGGTTGGGTTTCCTGACTTACTGAACTCTCTGTATATTTATATATTCCTACCACCGTTTATACCTCAGGTATAACGTTAGTCCGACCCGCCCGCCCCTAAATACGGTTATACCTAGTTCATGATACGTTTACGTACTTAAGTCGCTTTACTTGTATATATATATATATATTCTAATTACTATTAAAATTTATTTATTAACACGCTTTATTTTAATTAAGAGATATAAAGTATTCATTCCGATTACGAGGGATGATTTCCGTATCGTCATTTTTCGTCACTACCTCCATGTTCCGGGAGTGGGTAATTTACGCACCTGCTGCTTTCCTTGGATGTGGTAGCCGTTTCTCAGACTCCCTCCCCGGAATCGAACCCTGATTTCCCGTTACCTGTTACAACCATGATATTGATAGTAACTGCTATCATAACATGAAACTAAAAAGTGAAAAATAAATATAGTTTAAAAAAACACGATTTTAAAGCACATCGAACTAAAAAGTTAAAAATAATTTTTAAAATAATTATGAAAAAAAGTGTCAGGCGCTCAATATACAATAAATTTAGCACAAAGCACCCACACTTTTATCACAATAATACTAGTATTTTTCGTTCATTATTGTTTTAAACTTATTTTAAAAATTATTTTTAACTTTTTAGTTCGATGTGCTTTAAAAGCGTGTTTTTTTAGTTTTTTTAAACTATATTTATTTATGATAGTGATTTTAATCACTGTCAGACATCATCTATACTGGACCCAACTAGGCCACGACCCCACTGTGCTGGGTTTTTTAGTGACATGTTGCTTTATAATTAATAAAACTAAAAAAAAATGTTTTTAGTTTCACCTGAATTTAATAAAAATCTTTTACAATTGTAATCAAATTTTATAATACTTTCAATTGAGTAGATTTTTTTAAAAACATTTTGATTGGTGTTTTTAGTTAAAGTAAATCATTAAAATTAATTAAGTTCTGAATATTTTAATTGTAGAATCTTTTTAAACAGCAAATATTACTTAGAAATGATTACTATGATTTCTATTTTAATGTGATTTATTACAATAAAAATACAAAAAAGATATTGAGATTTTCTGATAAATTTACAGTAAGTAGTTATTATACAATTTCCTGACTCCATATTAATCTTAAGAATACTTTTTTTTTATTCTCACAAAATTTTCTATTTAATAATGAAAATTTCAAACTTGAAGTTTGGATATAATTTTTTTTTATCATAAACTTTAAAAGATCAAAAAATTCTATTTTTTTAAAGTTAATTACTTAATCTAATAATTAAAAGTAATCTTTATTTGTTCTAAATTCTAAATATTTTTAATGAGAAGTTTCATTTTTCCATGACAATTTAAATAACTGTTATTAAAATATAAAATATTTTAATTAGTAAATATTTTAAAAGAAAATGATAAAATGAAGGCACAAACACTGTCTATGAAAACCCAGTATGCTTGGTTAAAGAGTGCTAAGCCATTAGACTATTCCTTTAAAGGATTAAAAACTGTAGATGGTGGGTATAATAAATAACTTTTATGCAATTTTGATAAAGTGAAGTTTAAAAAATTTATTTTAAAAATTTATCTACAAAAATTATCTTAATTTTAAAATTTGTCAATAATTTTTTTTAACGGAGAATTAAAAAATGAAGAAAAACCGTTATCAACACGTGTTCAAGGTATTCCTAGAATAAATAAGCGCACTAATCGTTATCTAACAGGATCATTTTGGCTGAATAATAACTATTTGATACATGTTAATGGATTGAGAAAACTTGCTGAAAGACTCCTGGAATCAGCAGACCATTTGTCATGGTTAGATCTTTCAAACAACAAATTAATAGCTGTAAATCCTGTGAGTGAATGTTTTTTTAAGAGTAAAATTAATATTCTTAAGTTATAGGCTAAAATATTGCAATTTTTTCATGTTTTTATAAGAAAATTAATTCATATGTACACTTTTAAAGGTTAGAGAACTGAATGCAATAGTAAAAATATCTACTTATGAATAAAACTATAAATTTAATGAATTTATATAGTATTTTTGCTACGTCATATACGAAAATAGGTTTTATTTTTATGTTTTGAGTTGTGTATAACTTGCATAACTCGAAACAGACTGATCTATCTATTGTTTTAAAAATCGCCCGCCCGCAATACAAAAAATTATCTTTATTATTATTTATAAAAATATAATTTTTATGTTCAAAATTAAAACATATTTTTGAATTANAGTAAAAGCAAGTCGTGTCCACTTAGGCGAAAATACTGGGTACCCCGATCATTGAGGTGTTTTCGAATCGGTGGTTTATCAATTACCATATTTCATAAAAATGAAAATAATAATATACAATTTTTAAGTTGTAATGGTTTTTTTTTAACTTTTACTGCTGCAAACTTATTTACTAGCAATTGCATGTCTATACTTCAAATAATTAATGTTCGGTTGAAATAATAAGAATCTATTTATTATTTACTATGAAACAAGAGAGACTGATTAACTTAATCAGTCTCTCTTGTTTCATAGTAGATATTTTTTTGACAATTTTTAATTTGGATAAAGTTCTTCCAGTAGCAACACAAACATTCTTTTGTGTATATATAATCTAAAACTATGAGAATTGTACTCTAGTTTTAAATGAATTCTTAATGATTTAATTTCTTTGCATAACTTTGGAGCTCATATAAAAGATTTATTAAGAATGTTATCAGTTAAGTGTATTAGTAAATCGCTGCAATGTTTCTTTATTCATTATGGGACATTTTGAATTAAATCCTAAATTAAATAAAATATTTGAATTTCATTAATGATTTCAAATTAAATTTGAATTAATTGTGTCATTTGCAACTTTTATTTTCGATAAGTTTTCTGTCAAATTGTTATTGAACAAATAATTTTAAAGTATTGTCCTTTTTTACATAATAACTAAATTAAAGAGTTAAAAATTTTACTCAGTTATGTATAGAAAAAAATATTCAATTTAAACAACTACAATGATATGTAGTCAAATATTTTTTCTTTTCGTCCTTTTCAGAAATAAAAATCTATAACTATAGTTTTTTTAAATAGTAATCACTATTTTTAAAAGCTTTTATTACATGATAATATGATAGAAAAAATTTCAAAAAATTTTGTTCTTACAATTTTTTTTATTTATAATAAAAAATAGTAATAATTTTAATAAGTAAATTTTCTAATTTTTAAAACGCGAGTCTTAATTTCCATTAAAATTTTATAAATGTGATAAATATTTCAATTAACTGGTATTAAAATATTAATAAAATATGTGCTTTAGGAAATTTTGCTATTTCCTAACTTAACAGTATTGTACATGCATAACAATCGGATTTTTGACCTGGTAGAAGTTTATAAATTATGCAAACTGAAGAATTTACTTACTTTAACATTAAGTGGAAACCCAGTAGAAGCTACAACAGACTATAGACAAATTGTTGTGTACATGCTTCCAACACTACGAAAATTAGATAATTCTCCTGTTTTACGTTCAGAACGCAAGCCACTAGGTATACCATATAGTAAGTGTATTCGTAACCGTTTGTTAACTGAATATCCAGAAGATTTTAAATGGATTCCACTACCACCTGCACCGCGCCCTCCTCCACCATCATTGATCACTAATAGAAGTCCACAAAATTCGAATAAAAGTGTAATAGTTAATTTTATTTAAAATAAAGAGTACATTAAATAAATTGTTGGATACACAAATTAAGTTAAAAATATTATACAATATAATATTATATTATATATATATATTATAGATGGATGGTGTGGTCAAGTTGAAAATATGGTAGTGCCTGTGGTTAAAAAATGGTTTTAAATTTCAAAAATAAAAATTTTTTTTTCTTATTTCAGACAAATATTAAAAAAAAGGTATATTATAGTGCATAATTATACATTTTATTCTAAAAAAAGTAATGCAAAATATTAATTGAATTAAATAATTTTTAAGATATCAAAACCTGACGGAACACTTGTATAAATAAAATACAATTATAGAATTTTCTTTTAGTGTTAAAAAATTTAATTAAATTTATTATAATGTCCGATATTAATTTGATCCAATCTAATATATTTATAGAAAAATAAAAAATTTAAAAACCAGACACTTGATAAAAGAATAGTATTCATTTTTTTTTTTAATGATAAATTTATGTAAAAATTGTTTAATATGATAATTGTTTATATATATTCTAATAAATAAATTTCAGTTACCATGCTTTAATAAGTTTTTGAAAATAATAAAAATAATAAAATGTTTTATTCATTCATGCTTAGTCAATGAGGTATAAATTTTTTTAGTAAATATGAAAGATTTGATTGTTCATCAAATAATCATAACTTCAATTTTTTTTTGGTTTGTAGTATTATTATTATTTCTTAATAAAAAAATATAAAAATACAATCTAGTTAAAATTCATAATAAATATATTTTATTATACAACAATAATGAATTAATATATAAGGTACAGTTCATCACATAATTTAATTTATGCTTTAAAAATTATTATACAGTATAATTACAACATTTCTTTAAATTAGTAAGAAGATTAAAAACAGTATATATATATATATCAAAAATTAATAATTATTAAGTATTTATAGCTAAGTATTTGTGAATTTATGGAAGTATATTGATACAAATTTTTAAATATATTTTTGTGATGGAAATATAATAATTTAAAAAATAAATCAACTACAATCAAGAGTGAGTGATCCACAATAGAAAACAGCAAAAAAGTATATTATACCCTGAAAAAATAAGTCATATATTATATAAAAAACTAATATTACACAATTTGTTTAAAGGCTCATCTATAAAGTTGTTTTGTCATTAAAAATGTTAAATTTTGGTAGATTATTGTTATAATTTACTTTATGTATTTAATTTAAAATATATCAGTAATTGGATAATCAAGATGGTTCAACGATTTATTATTATATAATTTTTTCATATTTTTATGTAAATTTCCTAAAGCTATTGACTTAATTTTATGTGAATTTTTTTTAAAATTACTTGGGTGTAATTTAAGTTTGTTAGATAAAAAACATTTAATTTTTATAAATAAGGTAAAACAATATCGGCTTTTATGTTTTTATTTTGCTTTGAGTAAAATTATTAAACAAAAAAACGGTAGCACAGTGGGGTCGAGGCACAGTGTAGACAAGGCATAGATGGGACAAGTATAGATGATATCTGACAGTGATTAAAATCACTATCATAAGAAACGCTTCGATGCAAATCTGTAGATAGTGTTTC